ACAGTCAACTAGATTGCATGAACGTGCGGCGAGCGGTATAAAAATCTCTCTAGTGTTCGAACCCAAAGAATAAAATTGGTATATGAAACCTTTATTTTAATAGTAAGCGTCATACAGTAGATGCCACCGAGAGGAATGAGCAAGACAGAGCACGAGGAAAATCACATGCCATCTGACAAGGTGCGGGAAAAAAAAAAAACAAATTATGCGGAAATTTTCGGGGGCAAAATACTTCGATCATGCGGAAAACACACTGGATTATGCGGAAATTTTAACAGTCAACAATGAGTTCAGGGGTGCGAACTCAATTGGGTTCGAAACAGGTAGCATTCGAACCGCACAACAGTGAAACGAAAAGCACTTCAAAGTCTTACCCACAGACCACAGTTTAAGCTCTTTAATAGAATAAACTTATCAAACATCATGCCCGTAAACTTTGACATATGCTTGATCTGTTTCCAGTATTTGTTAACACGTATTTCTTCATTTAACACAGGTTTACTTGAAGAATTCGTTGTTGCGTTATTGGGACATCCGCAACATAGTAACCAGGCATTACATCGAACGATGAATAACAAGTTTTCAGGCTCTTCGCCTCAACTAGGAACGCCTGGACGTTAAAAATTCGTCACGAACGAAATGGCGCGCTTTCGTCGCAGTTTTAGGGAGAAGAACTAGTACAATCAACCACTTCGAACGCTTTCCTTTGCATCATCGAATATACTCCCTTCAAACGCTTCCCTTTGCATCAACGAATGTACTCAACGAACAGTCAAAGCACGAGGTCGCAGATTCAAGTCTGCCCGTCATAAATTCACCAGTCGCCCGGTCGTTTGAGAAGATTAAGTTACGAGTGCGGGCGACTAAATTTTTGTTCAAAGGAACCAATGGGCGCCCCGACGCCCAACATTGATTAAGAAATATTTTAACACAATCATTCCAGATCAAAGAAGAACAATACAGAAGGTTATCTACCATAATTTTGATGGCAACCATGCTGCTCTCTAGCTGCACCGCTCTCAACACAGTTGACCCAAACTCGCAAATGAGCGTCCCTGTACATACTGTAGTACTCAGGCTGCGCAGGGTTGGAAATGTTGGGATTTTTATTAGAAAAAACGGTTATATTCTCAAGCTTAAGAAAGGCGTCTTCGAAGGAGTATGAAAAAAAATAAGCCTACCTTGCTTCAGGCGTGTTTTTCCTCTTTACCCATGAGGTATCTAGGCCGTTATTGCAATTCGTGTGGTTTTTAGCTTCACTGCTTCGCCGTAAAAGCGACGTGAAAAACGTAAATAAATGCTTACCTTTTGCGCGCGTGTTTAACCGAGAATGAACCGAGGAGGCGCATCAGTTTATCAGCAAATAAAAACGGAATTGGGTAAAAAACGGTCGAAGGCTATAGATAATGTATGCTAAATGACAACCATATGTAAAATATATACCTACCCGTGCGTATAACCAATTGTAACAACCAATGAGGGTTGTGTATAAAACCAAACAGTGACAAAAACCTCACCTGACAACACGGCTTCTAACTATTTCATTGTCCGACCATCTATCTTTCACATTTTGCTGCAAGCAGCAAAATAAATACCGCAAAGTTCTGCAACGATTTCAAATAGTTGATGAGTAACTCTGCGAATTGAAAATTAGGATATCTGCTACACTGGAAATTCTGACCACTGAAAAAAATTCAGTGGCTTAAAGTTAACAAAATAAATAGCATTAATGTTTTACTAAAGACTTTCACCCCAATCCCCCCTCGGCCACTTCACTATCAACTAGTTCCTTCTCGGCCCTTCCAACCGCGATCAGACCCTTCCAGCGGGAGCCTGTTCATAGACTACCTACTTATGTTAGATGGTGTCTGCCTTACCTCGGACAGTTCTCAGGCGACTTAACAATAGCATCAACTCCCTCAAATAAGAATTCTAGCAGCTGTTTAAGGTTCACTACAGTATCGGCACCCTTCTCTAGTTTAGCTGGATTTAACTGCAAGGTAGTAATAATTGTACAGAAAGAGTTATTTAAGGCCAATTCTGAAACCAAGTTGTAGGCCATCTTACAAGTTCTAGGATACAGGGACACTTGGTTATCAGTATCTACGCCACGTTCCAGTCTTTATTTGACTGAAATGACTTATTCTGCGCTTTTCAATAGCAAATGAAACATATTTAAAAGTGGTTCAACTAAAAACAAGGTCAATAATTAGTTGTCGTATGTCAAGTATCTGTAGTTGTCGTGTCGTTGTCGTTGTCGTATGTCAAGCGTGCAGTCCACAGGTAAACAAGATCAAAACTTATTTAATTAACATATCTTAGCAAGGTGGTTTGAAATTTATCTTCTCAAGATGACTGGAAAGCGTAATAGGCACACTGGAAGAGCCTAACCAAGATTTAGTTGAGAAATATAATAATAATGTGAATGTATGAAGACATGACTGATCATCGCAGTTATACGTACGCAACTTAAACAGCTGTGAAATTAAAGTCTGAAAAAAATTCAGGCTTGAACGGGATTCGAACCCATGACCTCTGCGATAACGGTGCCGTGCTCTACCAACTGAGCTATCAAGCCAATTGGGAGCTGGTCACATTCTGAGTTCGTAATATACCAGTAGGTGTTTTCATATCTTTCTCCGCAGTTCAAGTATCTGATCTCTCATAAATTCACTTGCATAATGCGAATGACTTATCTTTCACAGTATTATAAAAGAAAAAAAAAGTAAAAACAGTTAATCATCGTACCTCACAAGACTGCTTACATTCCAGAATTTTTGCTACGACGTCACCAATAGTTTTCTGTAGATAAGGTATCGCGACCATTTTCATATACTGGTCCATAAGTGTAGTGGTTAAAGAAGTTCCTCGAAACAACGTGGATACTTCTTCTGCAATTAAGGTACATACAAAAGCTGTGTTACAATCATAAATAGCAGTAACGTCAACACTGAGAGTTCGCGATCGAGACATAACAAAATAAACGAACGAAAAACAACAGTTTTGTTCCGTTTTGGCATTTTGAATTCGTCTTCACATCTGTACGGCGGACCTCTCTCCTCTGCAGAGGGCTCTTTCGTGCTGCCTTGACCGTGTAGGCTGGTAGTTCGGAGGCTGGGGAGAGGGAAGTACAGAAACGCGCGGGAAATGTCCCCGCTTTACTCTGAAAACGCATCAAATGTTTTCCCTCCACACTACGCTGGAGGAGTTAAAGACGCAAGAATAACCGGTCATTTTGGATTTGTGTTTGAATAAAACTCGGGCAGGGAAATCATATTATTATCGTGACGCCATCGCTTTCGAATTGAACAGAATTGCTTCAATATGTATAGTATTCGCTAAAAGAACAATCTATTTTCCACGATGTGAAGGTAGGTAGAATGCTAACAAAAGCCCCGTCCACACTACGCCGGGGGAATTTGCAAATGCAACAATTACCAGTCATTTTGGATTTGTGTTTCAGGAAAGCTCGGTCAGGGAAATCACATGATTATCGTGACGCCATCGTTTTCGAAAAGTTCCGTTTTCAAAATGTTTTCCGTCCACGCGAAAACAAAAAGCCGGCGTCTTCAAATTTCTCCGGTTTGAAGAGCGTTTCGGAAAGCTTCGTTTTGGTGACGGATTAGTGTGGACGGTACTGGGCCTAACCGTAGAAATAAAGCTGCGTTTTCAAATTTCTCCGGCGTAGTGTGGACGGTGCCTAAATAAATGAATGAGTATTGGCATTTTCACACGACTTTAAGACGAAATCCGATAGAAAATCGAGCAATTTCAGGTTTTAGTGGACAAAAATCTGGCACCAGAATAATTTTAAGTATTTTATAGTCATTTTTACATTTTCTTAAAGGTAAATACATAAATAATTGTCTCAAATAACACCGAAAACAATTTCCCATGGAAACGAGAGAAAATGAATTTCAAAGCTCAGAGAACTTGTGCAAACACAGCCAAAATTTCATCATCAGTTTCATTTCACCAGTACTTTCGAGTGTTTCATACGAAGTTCAACATTCGTTTTCGACGTTTGGTGTTGCTAGAAATGATTTTTTTTTTGAGAAGATATTTAAAACAGTCGTACAGAAGTTTGTATTACGATGTAAATAATCTTGGTACTATGTTTTTCTCCACTCGTTACTCGAACTTCTGGTGGATTCCGTCTTAAAATCTTAAGATATTAATCACCAACTTTACCTTACCTTGCTTCTCTATTTCTAATGAGTTCATAGTTTTTAACAGGAAAATTTCTTCTTTCTCATGACGAAAGATTTTTAGTAAAGTCGATGCCAGTGTGACTCGATCCTTACACACTTGACCAAGACTCTTTACAGCTTGAAGATCTCTGTCCAAAAGAATCTACCAGAAATCGTACAACAATAACAGTTATAGGCGGTTCCGAGTGAACATAATTTCAAATTACAGTCAAACCTCTCCACAACCGCCACCTTGGGGACAGAGGAAAGTGGCCGTTGTCGAAAGGTGACCGTTATGGGGAGGGGGGTGCAACATTTTTATCTAAATAAAATGCTTATAGCAGCATGTAAACACGTAACACAATGAAAATAAAGTCGATCAAACAGAGACCAATGACGCGTGGTATGAATTAATAAGAAATGCAGTTTTGCATACATTGTTCGTCAGTCGTTGATTCACTGGCCGTTGTTGAGAGGTTGTTTGACAGTTGGACGGGTTTTAGTGGCTGTTGCCGTTTCGGAGAGGTGGCCGTTGTAGAGAGGTTAAAATAAGAGTGAATGTATGGATTCTCCGCCGAGACCAAAACAAGTGACCGTTGAAGAGAGATGGCCGCTAGTGCAGGTTCGACTGTATTACCTTCTACTTACAGCCTGCCAATGTTTGTTTACAGGATGGTCAGACCATACCTCTCTTAAGGTCATGCCCCAGTATTGCATTGCGCATCCCTACTGCGCATAATTTCACGCGTGATTAGCGCGCGCGCATTAAAAAA